CCGGAAGTACAGGTCCAGGAACAAAAAGGGGCAGGTGCTGCAGCCAGCCTTGAGGTCAGGAGAGAAGCGACCTGGTCAGCCCAGCAGAAACAGCTCACCTGGAGCCATGGTGATAATGCCTGCTTCACAGGGTTTCATGAGGGTTGAAATCAAGGTAATTAACATGTAAGTGTTCTGAAATGTAATGTGAAAGACTGGTTTTCAGTATGTTGATTATGGTGTTATGGAACTTTTGTCAGACACTTCCTTGTAGGCCCATTTTATAAAGCAGGAAAAAATGGAACTGCCAGAGGTGAGATGAGGGTGTGGTGGCCTAGAGCTTCACTTGCAGCCTTTCTTTACCCTCTGCAGTCTCCTCGGAGGACTGTACTCAGGGGCGCTTAAGGTGAAACCTGGGGGTCTCAGGGAGCCCGGCACTGCCCCCAGCGGGCCCTGGGCCCCAAACAAGTCATTTACGCATTTTGGACCCCAGTTTGCTTTTCCACCAAGTGAACAGACAAGTCAGATAGATCAAAGGATTCTTCACTTAGTTCCTACGGACAGGGGCTTCAGAAATCTTTGACATCTTTGAGACAGGCAGTATTTTGTGCTTTTTTTCCTGGAGAGACATGACATAGTTTTGTTTCGTCAACTTCTTAGAAGGGTCATGTTCGCCCAAACATGAAGGAGTGCTGTATTGATTTCTCAGGTCCCTTCCTGTGCTGTTAGTTTGTTGTAAGCGACAGAACCTCCCCAAGTCAAATTGACTTAAACTGCAAAGGCAAGTTAATGGTTCAGGGACCTGAAAAATCCCAGAGCTGGCCCAACTGGAGTCAGTACTCAGGTATTCTCATCAGGAATTTACCCCTCTTTATTTCCAGACTCTGCCTTTGTCAGGTTTAACTTCATTCTCGGCCCCTTCCTCCTGTCCCGCCTCTGCTCACCCTTAGGTGGCAAAGAAGTCCTCAGCAGTCCTCCTGCCTTACCGCCCATCTGTTTCCCCCAAGAAATTGGAGCAAAATGTCCAGGGCCCACTCTCATTGGCCATGCTGGGATCACGTGTCTCTCCCAGAGCCAATCCCTATGGCTGAGGGAGGAGACATTCGGGTCAGGGCGCCTCTCCCTCTTCCATTCTCTCATGGGATTCTGTTCTTGCTGTAAACTTGTAGGAAGTGAAGTGCTGGGCCCGTGTGTCACCTGTGTGATGAATGGGTCATGGCCATGGGTGTGCTGGCATTGTGGAAGCAAACCGAAGGGCATCGTCCCTTCCCAGGTGGTAGAAAATGGGACCCTGGGATACACAGGGTACTGGCTGGATTCCCGGATCTGTAGCCCTCCTTTGCTGCCGTTTCCACGGCTCTTTGGCATCTTCCTCTCTCCTGCATGAGGGACTGCGGGACGACGGGCATCCACAGCTCCCTCTAGTCGGCAGGAAGTAGGTTCCTGGCTGAGAGAGACTTGGCGCCACAGCACATAGCTGGTGATCAGCCTTTATAGAGCCATATGCATCACTTTAGAGAAAGAAAGGAGAAAAATTAGAGTGGCGGGAAAGCAATTTCCGTTGCAATTTAAAAGGCGGCTATTAAAATTTTACAAGAGCTTTATTGCAGGGGTTTTCTGATCATCCCAGGAATTTTTAAAATGGGAAGTCTAGTGATAAAGGAAAATGTTCTGGGTGCGTCTGGTTCCCTCCTGCCCTGCCAAGCATCTTGAAAACCACCATTGTGAGGGCTTCCTAGACCAGCTTAGCAATAGCAACGGCCCAAGAGGCCATTTCTGAGTGTTTTAAAAGCGGGTTTTTCCATATTTGCTGTTTCTATGTATAGTGACTGTTTCTAATTTTATTTTGTACTTTGCTAAATGGCCTGGTGGGGAGCTATGGGAATCGTCAAGAACAGCAGTTGCCTCTGCCCTTCCTGTGTTAGTTGAGAGTCATTTGGTTGTGTGAACAAATAGAAATTCAGGTCAGCTTGCTGAAGTATAAAAGGAAGTGGATGGACACAGGGCCTGGGAGATTCGGCTTGAAATGGTTTCAGGCATGGCTGGATCCAGGGCCTCATGAGGTTGCCAGGACATGTTTCCTTTTACCTCCTGGCTCTGCATTCTTCTGTGCTGATTTTATTCTCAGGTAGGCTCTGAAGCAGCCCCTAACAGTTCCACAAGTAGATTCAACCAGCTTAGCAGCTCCAAGGGAAATAAACCATCTCTTTCCCCCATAGTCCCAGCATATATCATGGGGCTGGTGTTTACTGGCTCTGATCATCCTGGCTTTGGTGGCAGGGTCGCCCTGGGCCATCGCTGAAGCTGGAACAGGGAAGGTGGTGCAGTGACATTTTGGCCAGACCTGGATCACATGACCAGTCCCACCCCCACCCACAACCCATGGGTGGGGTCAGTCCCGTAGGACTGAGTGGGAAAGGTGAGGTTCAAGGGGTTGACTGAGGAAAAGAAGTGGATGCAGGGTGGGCCAAAGCAGCCGACACCTGGAACCCCTTCCCATACTAACTTCACGAAGCTGAATCTGCCCCACACTCCCCAGTTGTTCTTTTCCCTTGGAACCTGCTCTGCCTTTACCCACTCTCAGATCTCCTTGAGGGGTTCTTAATCTCGGGTCCAGGGACCTTTGAAGGGTGGAAGTTTAGTGGGTCACAGGGTTGGCTGGGAAAAACATTACATCTCTATTTTCACTACCCTCTAACTGAAATTAACATTTTTTTATGCACAGGGCAATACACCACAATTGAATTAGCAATATCTGTGACTTTGTCACTACTAGAAATCACAGATATTCCCATATCACATTACAGTGTTGCAAATATCACAAAATATCATTTAAACACATACCTATTTCTAAATCACTATAGTTATTGGATTCACTACTAGATGTTGTAATATAAAAGCATTAATAGGCCAGACGTGGTGGTTCACACCTGTAATCCCAGCACTGTGGGAGGCCAACATGGGCGGATTGCTTGATCCCAAGAGTTTGAGACAGCCTAGCCAATGTGGCAAAACCCCATCTCTACTAAAAATACAAAAATTACCTGGGGTGGTGGTGTGCGCCTGTAAACCCTGCTACTCAGGAGGCTGAGGCAGAATTGCTTGAGCCGGGGAGGCAGAGGTTGCAGTGAGCCAAGATGGCACCCCTGCACCCCAGCCTGGGCAATAGATCAAGACTCCATCTCGGAAAAAAAGAAATTATTCTGAGGAGTCTGCAACTAATTCGCCAGGCTGCCAGTAGGACTCCCTGGCATGAGAAAGGTTAAGAACCCCCTTGGGCTTCTCCAGGAACCCCAGAGGAATGATCATTGAAGTTGTCCCGATTCCTGAACCCTGGAGTATTGACTAGCTGCTCGCTAGGCTTCCTTCCTGGGAGGATTCCTGGAGGAGCTGACCCGCCTTTGAGGTTGGCGTGGATATTTGGGTAGCATTTGGACATTATGGTATTGGGGAAGTGGGGCAGGGAGGTGTTGCCAGCCCACAGTTGGCCCTGCCTTCATTGACCATCGTGACAGTGTGGTCTAGCCAGGTGGTCAGAAACAGGCTCTGGGACCAGGTTGCTGGGTTCACATCCTGGCTGTATATAGTACACTTTTTTTTTTTTTTTTAAGAGAGAAACAGGGTTTTGCTATATTGCCCAGGCTAGTCTTGAACTTCTGAGCTCAAATAATCCTCCTATCTCAGCCTCTTGAGTAGCTGGGACTATAGGCAGGTACCACTGTGCCTGGCTTAGTATACTTTTGACTGACTGGGCAACCTCGCTAGTGGATCTCTTATGAATTCTGTGCCTCAGTTTCCTCATTTGTAACTTGGAAGTAATAATAGGATCTTCTTGGATGATGGGGAGAGTGAAATGAGTCAGCGCATGTCTGCTAGCACAGAGCCGGCACATTGGGAGGGATTGTTATTAGTGAATGGCCATTACATGTAGGACAGCTCTAGGCCCTCTCAGATCTCATCTCCTGACTTAGTGCCCAGCCTCTGCCGGTGCCCAGAATGTGATGCTGAACAATACAGACAGTGCTTTCTCCGCCTGGAGACATTCGTTCATCCATGGAATATTCACTTAAATATAAACAAGCATACTACATATTCAAAGGCATAAACTCATAAAGTTCCAAACCAGGACAAGTGCAATTTCTCTGTCATTCCTCTGCTCACAGTTGTCTGAGGAAATGTCCTTAGAATAGTCCTCCATCTGTCCCCTCCGCCACTGCTCACCCCTCATGCACCCCGTGCCAGCTCCACAGGCCTCCTGGCTGCTCCTGAGATGCTTCACATCTGCTCCCGCCTCTGGAAGGCTCTTTCCCAGGTAGTCACACGGTCTGTGGTCTCATGTATTCACATCTCTGTCCGCTCGTCCAGGAGGCCTTCTCCGAGCTCTCCGTGTAAGGTCGCAGTCTCATCACTATGGCGTCGCCCCGCTAGGTTTCATCAAGGCTCCACTCCCTGACTTTGTGTTATGTATTTGTTACTGTCCTCCTCCCCTACTAGACTGTCTGCTCCCTGAGGACAACCACTTTGTCTTGGAGAACCCTGGTTGTATTCCTGGTGCCTGGCACGTAGCAGGTGTTCAGTAAATACTTTTTTTTCTTTTTTCTTTCTTTTTTTTTTTTTTGAGACAGGGTCTTGCTGGAGCAAGGCTGGAGTGCAGTGGCACAGTCACCCAGGCTGGAGTGCAGTGGCACAGTCTCGGCTCACTGTAACCTTCCTCTCCCAGGTTCAAGTGATTCTCCTGCCTCAGCCTCCCAAGTACCTGGGATGACAGGTGTCCACCACCACACCTGGCTAATTTTTTGTATCTTTAGCAGAGATGGGGTTTTGCCACGTTGGCCAGGCTGGTCTTGAACTCCTGGCCTCAAGTGATCCACCCGTCTTGGCCTCCCAGAGTGCTGGGATTACACTCAACCATGTTCAGTAAATACTTGTTGAAAGAGTGAGTATGTGATTGACAGCTGGGTATTGCAGCAGGAAGGCTTAAGTTGGCCAGAGACCTAACCTCTTCTTTTTCCTCCATGTAGATGCACAGTCTCTGACGTCGGCTCTCCTGGGACCATCCAAGAGTTCTAGTGTCTAGAAGGTACTAACGGTGAGTACGGTGTGGCTGCTGGTTTGCTTAGAACTTTACAGCTCATACACATAAGCATCTTTATTTTTTTTTTTAATTACAAAAAAAAAAAGTATCAAGGGAAAAATGAAAGTTTGCTTCACTGTTCTTCCCATCACCCGCAAGCCTAACATCTATCCCAGAGGTAATTACTGTCAGTCACTGGCTGGGTGCCCTGCCAGACCTTTTCCTGTACACAAACTTTCCTACGTGCACATATACACACTTATTTTGGTTCACTGTATAAGAAAAAGGAACCATGCTATGTGGTGCTTCTTGGCTTGCTTCCACCATCCCCAATAATAGTATGTTTTGAAGATCTTTGCTCATGAGCGTACCTCAGTGTATCATACATTTCATATACTTTTATTTTTTTCTTTACTTTTTCATTCAATTTTCAAACCTTACATAGAGTAAAACTCTCTCTTTGGTATACAGTTCTTTGTTTTGTTTTGTTTTGTTTTGTTTTGAGATGGAGTTTCGCTTTTGTTGCCCAGGCTGGATTGCAACGGTGCGATCTTGGCTCACTGCAACCTCTGCCTCCTGGGTTCAAGCGATTCTTCTGCCTCAGCCTCCCGAGTAGCTAGGACTACAGACATGTGCCACAATGCCTGGCTCATTTTGTATTTTTAGTAGAGATGGGGTTTCTCCATGTTGGTCAGGCTGGTTTCGAACTCCCGACCTCAGGTGATCCGCCTGCCTCAGCCTCGGTTTTTTTTGTTTTTTTTTTTTGAGGTGGAGTCTCACCCTGTCACCCACACTGGAGTGCGGTAGCGCCATCTCAGCTCACTGCAGTCTCCGCCTCCCAGGTTCAAGTGATTCTCCCGCCTCAGCCTCTCGAATAGCTGGGATTACAGGTACCCGCCATCATACCTGACTGATTTTTGTATTTTTTGTAGAGGTGGGGTTTCACCATGTTAGTCAGGCTGGTCTTGAACTCCTGACCTCAGGTGATGCACCTGCCTCAGCCTCCCAAAATGCTGGGATTACAGGCGTGAGCCCCAGCGCCTGGCCGGTATACAGTTCTTTGAATGCAGACAGTTGTAGATAGTTGTGAAACTGCCACCATGATCAAGATTCAGAGCAGCCCCGCTGCCCCACGATGTGAATGTACTGGTTTCTCTGTTGGTAAAAAATATGAGCCAGGTGTGATGGCTCACACCTGTAACCCCAGCACTTTGAGAGGATGGGGCTGGAGGATTGATTGAGCCCAGGCGCTTGAGACCAGCCTGGGCAACTTAGTGAGACCCTGTCTCTACAAAAAATACAAAAATTAGCTGAGCGTGGTGGCGCACACTTGCAGTTCCAGCTACACCGGGGCTAAAGTGGAAGGGTCACCTGAACCAGTGGAGGTCAAGGCTGCTGCGAGACCCTGTCTCAAAAAAAACTAAAAATTAAAATAAATAAATACATATACACATGTATATGGCATGGGTAATGGGTATTTACACATATTTAAAATATATACATATGGCAAATACTTACCTGTGCTGTATAGGTTTCAAATATGTTATATTTAGGTTTTTGGGTTGGTTTGCTAGTGAACATTCTCTTTTGTTTCTGTGGGTGGGTTCTAAGCAGTGGCGTGGGACCCCAGCTGCATGTCAGTTTGCAGTGAAGCCTTCCAGGACGATCCTCAGCTTTGTTGAGAGGGGGCATTGTCTGATCCTTGAAGAAACAAGAGACCATACCAGTGTGGGAAGTGGAAAGGGGAGGATTGTGGCCTTCAGAACCTGGATGCAGGTAGCTGTGTCAGCCGAGCTGCGGGAACTGAGTGGCTCTGGATGGAGTTTCTCTCTCCTGGACATTTAGTGGTTCCGTCACATTCCCTCATCCTGGCAGTCTTGCCTGGGTAACTGAAGCTGGTGTGTGGGACAGTCACTAGAGGCCAGATTTCTGTCAAAGGATGCTTCCTAGCACAATTCTTGATTACTTTTATTTTGAAGTGATTTGAGAATTATTAAAAAGTTGTGAAAATGATTACAGAGTCCACATGTCTACCCTATATCCAGCTTCCCCTATGTTACCATCTTATACAACTGTAACACAGTGATCAAAACCAGGAAATTCACATAGCCCAGTACGATTAACTCAATGACAGACATTAATCACATTTCACCAGTTTTTCCACTGATGTCCTTTTTTCTTCCAAGAGTCTATTCTTGATCCCACACTGCATTTGATTTTCATGTCTCCTTAACCTCCTCCGATCTGGAACAATTCCTCCATCTTTCCTAGCCTTTCCTGACCTGGACACTTTGGAAGAGGACTGCTCTGCTATTTTGTTGTGTGTTTCAACTTGGGTTTTTCTGATGTTTTCTCATGACCTCATTGAGGTTATTCATTATTTAGAACGATGTCACACAGGCAGCATGCCCTCCTCAGTGCGTCTTTGTGGGGGTCTATGATATTGGTGCGTCGTATTTCTGGTAATGTTCACCTAGATCACTTGGTTAAGGTGCTGTGTGTCAGATTTCTCCACACTAAAGTTACACTTTTCCCTTTGTAATTAATAGCTATCTTAGGGCACTCCAGGCCAGGAGTTTGAAACCAGCTAGCTCTAAAAAAATAAAATAAAAACAAATTAGCCAGGTGTGGTGGTGCACACCTGTAGTCCCAGTTACTCAGGAGGCTGAGGCAGGAGGATCCCTTGAGCCCAGGAGGCAGAGAATGCCGTGAGCTGAGATCGTGCCACTGTACTCAGCCTGGGTATCAAGACCTGGTAGCAAGACCTGGGTAGCAAGAGCAAGACCCTGTCTCTTTAAAAAAACAAAACAAAACAAAACAAAAAAATGCTACCTTTGGGGAGAAACTTTGAGGCTATGCTAATATCCCACATCCCGTTTTTCCTCAAACTTCCTCCCACTAATTTTAGCATCCATTGGTGGCCAAGGTCTTGTCTACAGCAGTTATTGCTGTGCTGTTTCCCTGATGGCAGTTTTTGTGTGCCTCTCATTCCATCTACATTTATTAATTGAAATTCTTCTGTAAGGAAGACCTGTCCCTTCCGCCTTACTTATTTCTTTATTTAGTTACTAATTTATATCCTATAGGCTATATTTGTTTTAATCTAGCACATTGCTTTTTAATGTGATAAAAGGCCCCAGATCCCAAGTAAATTCCGAGCATTGCCTCACACAGCAGGAAGACCGGCATTTTTCCTAGCTGGTAACCAGGGCCTTAGGGAACTTGGAAAGAACAAGAACAGGTTTCATTTGTTCATTCATTTTCCTTCACTCAGCAAATGAGCATTTGAGCACCTACTAGAAGCACTAGGGATTGAGGAATGAACAAAACAAACTCCTTACCTTAAAGGAACGGACATCCTACTGAAGAGTAACACAGTAAACAGATAAAAAGTGAATATAGGGCTGGGCACGGTGGCTCACACCTGTAATCCCGTCACCTTCACGAGGCTGAGGTGGACCGATCACTTGAGGTCAGGAGTTCGAGACCAGTCTGGCCAATATGGTGAAACCCTGTCTCTACTAAAAATACAAAAAAAAAAAAATTGGCCAGCCATGGTGGCACGCCACTGTAATCCCAGCTACTCAGGAGGCTGAGGTGGGAGGATCGCTTGAACCCAGAGGCAGAGGTGGCAGTGAACCAAGGTTGTGCCACTGCAATCCAACCTAGGTGACAGAGCGAGACAGGGTCTCAAAAAAAAAGAAAAAGAAAAGGTGAATATAGGATAAGTTAGATGTATATAGTGATGTATATAGTGTATATAGGATGTGTATAGGAGTATATAGTGATGAATAAAGCAGGGAAGGAGATTGGCCTCACAGGGCAATTTTTAGACAAGGTGACCAAGGAAGGCCTCTTTGAGGAGGCCCTGAATAGAGGAGGGAGTGAGGCGGTCCCCGGCCTGATTCATCCACAGCCAGCTGGGAGATTGCAGTCAAATCATCTCCCTTCTGAACAGTGTCTGTGAACAGGAAATGTGTTCCCTCTGCGAGGGGCAGCCTTGCTCAGTGGGGGCCAGTCTTATCCCCGAGTATTGCCAGATCTGATGTTCCCCCCAATAGGAGAGGAAAGTGAAGACTTTTTTGCCAGTCCATTAAACCCAAATTATGCGACATCAGATAATGAATATGACTCTGTTTTGTTTTCATTGTGTTTGCTTTTTAAGTTTCCTTTTCTTTGTAGCAAGAGATAGCAATTTTTCATTTTTAGTGGTGATAGAGATTCTTTTAAAATACATAAAGCTTGAACGTCACTTTAGGGCTGCGTGCAGTGGCTCACCCTATAACCCCAGCTCTTCGGGAGGTCAAGGCAGGAGAATCGCTTGAGGCCAGGAGTTTAAGACCAGCCTGGGCAACAGAGTGAGACTCCATCTCTACAAAAAATGTTCAAAGTAGCCAGGCGTGGTGGCATGCACCTGTAGTCCCAGGTACTCGGACAGCTATGGCAGGAGGATCACTTGCGCCCAGGAGGTTGAGGCCACGCTACTGTACTCCAGCCCCGGGCAATAGAGCAAGAGAAATACGTGTGTGTGTGTGTGTAAATAATTGTACAGATGGGGAGCAGATACAGCTGAAAAGGAAGGGTGGAACACAGCGACTGGGCTTGGTAAGCACTGTATGGCTCAGCCACCCACTGTTTTTCCTCTGGGTCAGGGGTTCTCAGCAGTGGGCCTGAGCTGAAATTGGCAAACAATTACCATGGGTGTGTGCCTTGAGCCATTTGCATCATGGCGTGTGCATCGGCCAGGAATGTCTTCAAGTTTCAGGAACAGAAACCCCCACTCACCACAGCTTGATTGAATGAGGGCTGATTTCTTGCCCACTACAAGCACACCTGGAGGTGCTTGGCTGCCAGTGTTAGTTTGGTGGTTGGGCAGTGTCAGGGCAGAGCCGCTTTGATTCTCTTGGCCCTTCCCCTCATGGACATAGTTGCTGCTGCCATGTCGCGTAGCCTCCCCTAGCTCCAAGGAAGGTGGCAAATGTTATTTAACTTTTCAGCCTTTCCTGAGGAGGAAG